GAATCTTCTCTAGTGACTCCTTTTCTTTTTCTTTTGAGGCCCAGAGTTGTTATTTGGTGTATCAAAGGCATCTTTAGAAGCAGTCAGCCAAGATGTCTTCTATTGCGAAAAAGTGAGTACTAGCTTTTTGGTTCTCTAGCTTGTTTAATCTCTCCAAAATTTGTATAAGCATGCTGTATACTAAATTGCTGCTTGAGAATTCTTCACTATTTTGTAGTTTTTCTTTTCTAACTGATTCATAAGGTGTGTTCTTCTTGTTGTCTGCTCTTTTATTTTTCTTGTTCTTGAATATAAACTAGAGTTCTATCTTCTTTCTTTTTTCCTTGTATAACTGATATCCAACATGCTTTTTGTTCTCATTCAAATAAATTGTTTTGGTTCCTTTATTTTCTTTAAGAATATAAGGGTTTTCTTTACTTTCTGCTATTTTTGTTGTCTTATATCTGTTTGACTGATTCTTAGGCTTTTCTTTATCATTTGTCTTAGTGCTCTTATTTTTGTAATCTTTATTGTCTTGCATATACTAGTCTAAACGTGTATTGTAGTAGTACATTTTTTTACCTAAGCCTATTTGTTGTTTCTCTGCAATTTCGAAAAATATGGAGACTAGACTTCTTTGATTTTTATTATGATTATGTAATATGTATACTGCTTATACATTTACTGGCTTTAACTGTTTTAGCAGCATAATTTCCTGGGCGGTTTTTGGGATGTTTTTCAATATTGCTTTGTATCTTGCCTTGTAGTTAAGTATATTTCTGTTCATCTTCCCTTTGGAAAGCCTTAGTATTTTGCTCTCTTTGAAATATATTATTTAGGCCTTCATAAATAAAGCTTTTCTTCTTTCATTCCAGAAGTTTATATAGAAAGATATAGCTTTCTTCTTTCCTGTTGACTCCTAGTATTTGAATTGCACCTAGCTATAAAAATGTAAGCATTTTTTTACTCTTATTGCCTTAACTTTTGTTGGGATGTCTTATAAAGTAAAGCATGATTTGAAAAAATCTAAGCTTGTTTTAGTGTTAAGATTTTTCTCTGATGTGGTTAAACTTTACTAGTTAGCTATATTGTTTAAAGATACTAGTAAGTTTACTATTTTAGCTAAAGCTTTTTCTTTTTTGCAGGCTTTTTTGGGCTCTCTTTCTTCCTTTGTAGGGCTTGCACTTCTCTTTTTAAGTATTATTTGCAGCTTGTTCTGGTGTTGGTTTTGGTTCAAGTTTAACTTCTCAGTGATATTATAATTGGCAACTCTACATTCTTGCTATATTAATAGTTCTTTAATTTCTTCTGCTTTATTGGAGTCTAAGAAGTTAGAGAGCTGAGTTTTTCCATTATTTTTGACTCTGAGATATTCAAGCCAATTATACTTTTCAATTAAACATCTAAACAGACATATTATTTGAGGCTCTGTTTCCCACGAATGCTATTAATCCTCTGTCTATTCTAAGGCTTTCTTTTATGTACTTTTTTTTAAGAATATTTTTATATTTGTTTAGTATGTAACTTCAATCTATTTCTGTGGCTTTCTCATGATCTATATTCATCATGTATAGCTTTTACTGATTTTATGTCTACTATTATATTTGATGTGACACATGATTTGCACTATATTTTGTTGCTTTGGTATTTATATAATAATATTTAAAAGTTAAGCCTTGGGATATATTGTACGTGACTTTACATGTTTTTGATATGATTTTATATATTATTTCTTTGCTTTTACTTGTATATGGCTGTGTAGCTTATCATGAAGTATTTGTATTATACCAAGGATCTGCAGTACAGGGTTTTTGCTATATTTCTCATATAAAAGTATAAAAGTAGTTTTTGGCTTCACATGAATAGTTGTATTTTATTCTCTTAGACACTAAAATTTAGAGTCTAGTGTAGTTATCTTTCTTTTTATAAACAGGAGATATAACCTATGTTGCATTGTGCTTAGTGTTCCAAATCATTAGTTGAAAAACCAAATAGTTGATAACTTTTTAATTAACTGGTTTGAAAATTTTTTAATTAACTAACTAATTTATAATCAACTAGTTCAACTATGGTTAACTGTTAGTTGTCAACTAGTTGTTAACTAACTGGTTGTCTATATTAATCAACTACACAACTATTATACATATTATATAGTCAATTGTATATGTTTTACCAGAATAGTAATTATTAGATCTAAGCATATCTTATTAGTATCTCTGTTCTATAATAATATTGTGTTATCATGCAAAACCAGAAACAAGAAAGTATTTAGATATTAAGTGATCTGAAATTTTAAGTTAATCTGATTCTGCATTTTTATGATATTTGATTAGATATATTAAATTTAGATCATGTTATAGTTAAATGTAGTCTTGTACTCTGTCTTAGAACCGGGCTATAAACCAAAAAGGGAACTATGGCAAAGCTGCTTGAGTGATTTCTTTGAATACTATATTGATCATAAAACTTTCAAAGGCAGGTATAAAAAAAAGATCTGTGGTTAAGAATTAATATTTATCATTATATACTCTAAAGGTATATTAAAATTTTTATACATATCTGTGTTCTCATATAATATAATAATTATAGGATGATTATCAGTTATAATCACTTTTTATTTTTTTATTTTTATTTTTTTTCTAATGTTAGCTAACTTTTCCACTTTACAATGAATATAAATTTGTTACTTTAGGTATTGTTGCTATTTAGATGTTCTTGTAAATATAGATTTTGCTGTTTGGGTAGTTTCACGCCTCTGTATAGTTGCTATTATTACTAGGGTTACTGTAGATGTGGATTTTGTTGCTTGCTGTTTTTTGTTGTCTTGAATTAGGTTCTTTACTTGTAGATTAGTATAAATTTTATTGTTTGTACTGGTGGTATGATTTGTTATTTTTAATACTGAACTTAGCAAAAACTTTATATTGACTTTTTCAGATCATTTAATATCATGGATTATCGTGAAATTGGATCATCGTGAAATTTAGATTTATTTTATATCCGATTTTTAAAATTTTTTGGGGTCTTTTTTGTAAGCTTTTTTTTATAGTTAAGTTAGGATTTAGGGTTAGAATTATTAATAAAAGAGTATAGGTGGATTTTGGTAGGGCTTATATTTTCAAATCAAGACCTCCAAATTTTACGATGATCTGATTTCATGATAATCCGCGATATTTAATAATGATTTCACATCAAATAGACTTGCAAGAACACTATGCTAAATTTTTGCACTTTCCTAATAACAAGCTTGGATCAGAAAAAGAAAAGTGCTATATATATGTACTTTGCAGAAACATTATATGAGCTATTTTAAATCAAAAGAAAAAAAGTACTTGCAGATGTATTTTGCAAAACAGAATAAGGCAATGTGCTAGTATATGCATCATGCTGATTTATTTATCTTAGTAGACCAGTTTACAAGAACACCATGCTAGCTTCTTTGAATTTTAGATAAAATAATTTGGCTATAAATTACCACTCAATGATAGGTTCACTATATAATCAGTTCAAACTGAGATTTTTTTTATAGCTGTTTTCATAAATTCTGAAACAATTAAAAAAATTGTTAATGACCAAATCAATAAATTACTAAGTCAGCAACAGATTTGGCTGAATTCAGAAACTTATCGATTCAATTATTAGCAATTTTTTCAGTTATTCCAGAATTTATGAAAACAGCTATAATAAAATTGCAGTATTCAATTACATATAATTGCAAAATATAAATATATTCAAAGCTAGCTGCATTATAGACCTGAGTTTATTATAGGTTCTAAAATTTGTAAAGTATAAAAAGCCCGGCCAGATCTTGTAAAAAGCACTAATTAAGCTTTAGGGTTAGTATATTAGTTAGTTAGGTTGTGGATTAGGTTTAGAGTTCGAAATAGGACTAAGACTAGAAATAGATAAAACAGATTAGTGAAGTTACAAATGATAAATGGATTGGGTTAGGGTTAGAAAAAGGTAAAATAGGATTAAAGTTAGAGTTATAAATAAAGTTTAGAGTTAGAAATCAAATAATATAAATTAAATATATATCTTTATTAATTTGTAATATGTATAAATAAATAAATTATTATAATAAATATTAAATATAAGTTATATTATGATATATATCTTATATACTTTGAATTTCATATGTATGTATAATTATACTGGTTTTGTGTAGCATCATATGCTATGCAGCTATCTTATACAATAACCAACCAACCAACTAACCAACCAACCAACTTAACCAACTAACCAACTAATCGGTTAAATTAGTCACATAATAATATAACTGGTTAGTTGACAACTATAGTTGGCAACTAACCAGTTAGTAAGATTTAATCAATTTGAAACACTAGTTGTGCTGTTTCTTTAGGTTTTTGCTACCAAGTGATATCTTTAACAAGTGCTTTTATTCTATTTTACACTTGTTTAGCCTATTTTTACTAATTTATAGCTATATATATTGCTGTTTTTAGCCTTTTATTGCACTTTAATGCACTTGTTATTGTGTTTCTAGCTATGTATTAGTGGTTTGCTTTTTGTTGCTTTTTGTATTGAATAATCATCAAAGAGAGTTCCCAATTATTTTTTGATTTTCCAATTTTAATAATGCTTTTTCTATTTTTAATATAATATTTACTACTTTCTTATCAAAAATTAATGATACTAACAAGGTTTGCTTAGATAAATTATACCCAGGATTAGTGTTTGTAGTCAATTTCACATTAGTTGATAAAATCGGGTTAGCTGACTTAGTCAGCCGATTTTTTAAAAAATCGGCTTAGCTGACTACAATAAATTATATATTAAAATTTAGGCAGTTTATACTAGAAGCTGAAAATTTCTAAAAAGAAAATCAATAAATATAAGATACGAGCAAGGTTGAGATAAAAAATTTGAGAAATCTCTGATAACTTCTAAAGTTTAATCAAATAGAACTTTGAATAATCAACTCTAACTTAGCTGGCTAAGCCGATTTTTAAAGATCAACTTAGTCAAGTCAATAAATAATGGTTGACTACAAACACTACCTAGGATTTAATATTTTGGTATAATCCTCAAAATATAAACAATCAAATGCAAAAAATAAAATACTAGAGTATACTTTCCATTTAATTAATGCTTTATTTGCTCTGGCTTCTTTAGCTTTATCAATAGCTTCTTTCAAGTTATAATAAGCATCAAGTAATAATATAGAATTATTTGATCTTTTTTTAAAGATGAATGTTCCAGATTGCATATTTCTATCCTCACTTTGAATATCCCAAAGTAATTTAATCTGAACTTCTTGAGGCATTCTTTCTTTACATTTCAATACTAGATAGGTCTTTATATCTTGAGCTTTTTCTCAAGCCCAAGATGTAGAATAGTACTTACAATGTGCCCCTTTATATTTTCCTTTTCCATTATTTACTATGTTGTACTCATCCCAAATATCTTCTTGAGATCATCTCTCCTATATGATAACTTAATGAATTCTGTTTTATAAATTAAACCAGAATCATCTGAAATTCTATTTATATTTGTATTTTTATTGTTTGTAACATCTTCTATTATGCTATAAAATTAAAAAAAAAAACAATATATGCTATCTGAAAAAAAAAAATTAAAAATTTCACTAAAAAATAAAAATACCTATTATATATATCTACTTATTAGATGCCAAAGTTAGAAATGTACTCTTAAAATTTGATGCCAAAAAAAAAAGAAATTTTTTTTTTCAAAAACACATGTTAAGAAAAAATTAACAGATTATAAGTGAACAGATTTAATTTAAAAAAAAAGAATTATAAGCAAAGCAAACAAATTTATATTCCAACAAAGCGATATCTCATTATTAATGTTTTTTAATTGCTTCAGATAATGATAGAGAAAATTACAGTTAAGAAACAATAGTTATTAATTATATATTTTATTATCTAAAGTATTCATATCTCGTTTGATTGTTCTTATTCATATTTTGTTTAGGCTAGGTTATTTATTAATTGATATACTCAAGGTATGCTATTCATTTATTGCTCTTTTCGAATTAGTCCAAAGTGATAGAATACAAAAAGAGAAGTATCTTTCAACTAGTACTAAAAATTCAGCGTAAATATGCTAAAAAAAAAAATTTTATATATAGGAAATTATTTGTTTCATACATATTGCACAGTAATTGTTGATTTTTGTACAAAATACTAGAACAATGCATACAAGAATTAGAAAATAGTGAAAGATGGCATAGAAAAATCAAGAATAAATAAGGTTATATGTATGTATAGTTAACAAAGAATCTATATTGAAGCATGTATCACTACCGAATAAATGTTATCTGTACAATATTTAATAACTTTTGGCATGATTAAAACCATTTTTATATATGCTTGTAAATCACTATTGGTATAGAATTATTATACTAATATTGTGAAGCGAACCAAAAAAGCTTAATAGGCAATCCGCCAGTCACCTGGATAAAAAATTTTTTTTTATATAAATTTTACTATAAGTGTGAATGCACAGCGCTTCTATCTAAAACTTTTTTTTATATTAAGTAAATCACTCTTTGGCTTCTAACAAAAGTTGTAGAGCTCATAAAAATGTATTTAATATTAAAAGGATATTAAAATTGGTCTGGTGGTTCTTGAGAAATCTTTAAAAAACTTCTTCTTCACATATAAAATTTCTTT